CTCTAATTTTTTGTATCTTCCACCGATTCCCAAAATTAAAAACTAAAAAAAATTTTCCAAAATTTCCAAAAACCACAGAATAGAAAAAACCTAAAATTTTCTTCTAGAGAAACCTAGTTCAAAAACACACAAACTTTGATATTTTTTTGTTTGCTTAACAATTTTTATCTCTCCGTGAATTCCCCTTGCATGTTTATGGTTTCTGTTCATTTATAGGAATTAAATCCCTTTAATTCTGAACATCAAATTGATTATGACCTTATTGAAATTTCGTGATTTGTGATTTGATTCTAAGCTTGCTATGAATTGATTTTGTAATTAAATTTCAAAATCATCAAATCCCAAATCCCAAAATTTTCGACCAATTTGTTCAATCTTTCCTTTTTCTTTTTTAACCCTTTTGTTTTACTTTTTTTTTTTCTTACTTTTTGACCTTTTTGAAAAAAAACAAATAATAATAAAATAAAATAAAATAAAAATATAATATAATATTAAATAATATTAAACCAAAAATACAATAAAATAAAATCTTTGTTATCGAGCCTGAAACTTTCCATTTGGGCGCAATTAATGGTCAACGATCCGTTTTTCATTTCGAAAAAAATCTAGACAAAATAAGATGTCTACAATAGTCAGTTTTCAAATTCCTACCTTAGTTTACCCTCTGAATTTGGTAAATGTAATGTGTGTGGTACTTCTAAACTTGGAAAATGTGAAGGTGTGTAAGTTTTTACTTTTATCCTTGTAATGTATAAAAGTTAAAATGTGACAAAAAAAAGTACTTATAACGAAGGAAGATAATGTGATTAAGAATATTTTCAAAAAGCCAATCCTTTTAGTTATGTTATTGCTTTCAGGTCATTTTGGATATATTGAATTACCAATTCCAATATATCATCCTAGCTATATCAGTGAATTAAAGCGACTATTGAGTTTGTTATGCTTGAAGTGTTTAAAAATGAAGAACAAGGTACTAGTTAATCAACAATTGCATTATCTATTATAGATGATCTCTTTTAGAAAATTATGTCTAAAAATGTTTAGAAAAGTTTTAAAAGTAAGAATTCATCCTTTCAAAGTACAGTAAAGTAATACCAAGAATGGCTTGCTTGTTTGAGCAAAATAGGATTAAAATCATGCTAGTTAGTCAAAATGATGAAAGGTTTCTCTATTTCCTCACACCATTCCTTGGTAAATTACTTTACCAAATGCTTGTGAGTAATAAGAGTACATAGATTTGCCATCTCTTATTTCTTTCCAATTGAAGTTACTTTTTCTTCCTCCATTTTACCTATTTGTTCTTTTTATAGAACTAAGATTAGCACTTTAATTGATTGTCCTTTGTTTAGCTTATGCCATCCTATTATATTTGACTAAATTATGAAGTAGTGTGTAAAGTTATAAATTGCTAAATAACATCAATTTTTTAAAAAATTGTTTAATCATGTGGAAGTTTCTAGACATATCTTGATTTCTACTCTGGCAAATTTAAAACTCTGAACTCTTTACATATGCTATGATTTTTATATAATCACATTCTTTTTTTTTTTCATGAAACATTATTAGTGAAAGGTTGGATTTTAATTCTTTACTTCTTACTAAATTGCATGCAAGATCTGGAAGATTAGATATTCACAAAAATTGCTGACACAAGTCTGAGGCTTTGAATTAGGTCCAACACCATCTAACTACTGTGGATATAGCTCTTAGCAAATGGCAGTGCCCTAACTCTTAGAAGTCATCAATTTCATACATTTTAAAATTTTGCATAATGTATTAAAATAATTTGAATGTTATTGTATTAAAATTTGTGGTTACATACTGAAATAAATTATGTATTTAGACATTTAAATATTTATAATATTCAGTTTATAAATTTTAATTTATTTTTTATTTTTTTCAATTTTTATTTAATTATTGTAGCAAGTATTGAAAGAAATGAAAAGAATTATTAAATTTCGGATTTAGTGGCATTTATAGCAAAAAACACCACTAAATTAAAGATTCACGATGTTTAAAAACATTGTCGAAAAACCAAAATTAACAGCATTTTTCTCGAAAACACTACTAAATTCTCTAATGCAGGTGTAATTGACGCTTTTAACAGTATTTTTCACAAACATTATGAATCGTTTAGAGGTATTTATAAATGTCACTAAAAATGAAAAAAAATGCCACTAAAAATATTTTCTCCTATAGTGGATGATTTTATATATTTATTACATGATAGCTTTTACAAATTTAACTTATTGCAGAATATCCTTTCATGATTTTTGGTATGATTTTTATATTAGCATAATATTTGCATGATTTAATTATAATATTATTGCATGATTTTTTTTATAAAATTTTTGTATGTCAATGTTATGTAAATAAATAAAGGTATTGGAATTAATTTATTTACATGATAAAAAATCATTTTTGATTAAAACTTAGGTAAGATAATATATAATTAATTTGGTATCAATTTTGGGTGTAATGAGATATTAAAATCTTTTTTTGCACATAACCGACTCCTACACTTAGTTTTGTTGATATGACCATAATATATATTTTTTAGGGATCTTTAGTTTACATTTAGGATAATTTTAAAAGGAATAGATTCACATAGGTGACAAGCTACACTTAGATAAAAAAGATTGATGATAACTATAGTTTTTTTTATATTTAATGAGTATATTCTCATATTTGAACATTATGACAAAAACTTTTGCATCTAATTAAAAAAAAAAGTGTGAATCTCCATAATCAATCTGAGTCATATAATATTTACGGTATTTCTTTTCCCAAAAAACCACATTGTCATGATTATTCCATAGACACAAAACGCAAAAGAAATATTGTATTAAATTCTGATTTAAGATAACAAAGGCCATCCATAATGCTCACCTAATTAACTTCTCTAAATTTGGGTTTATTTTGAAGCTAATCTAATAAGCCAATGAATAAAATACTTTAATTAAAAAGAAGAAATAAAATTTCTCATGAAATTAATTATGCTCTCATAACAAGAACTGTTAAAGGTCTAAAGTAGCAGGATATATATGTTATCCCAGTACTTCAATGAATTCTCACTGATATGTCTTTTTTTTTTTTAATTTTTGTACAAGCGATATGTCTAATTTAAATAGCGAAAGTTAAGACTTGTGCCTGGTAACCGGCTAAAGAAGCAAGGCCAGACACATGCAATTAACTTATTAACTTTGTCTTTCTGACAACAGAATCAGTTGACTTCTTAACCCAGCATCATACCTAATGTCAAGTGCATAGCTGTTTAAACTTTTGTTAAAGGTCAAATAATGAAGAGATAAATACATGAAATAGTAAATTTTGACTACAATTATTTCTCATGGCATAAAAAAGTCTTGAAAAAAAAAATACAACTCAAAAGGACAGGTTTAGTAAGAAAAAAAGATCATGAATACATTAAAATATAAAATTTTAACCTAAAATATTAACTAAGAGAATGTATGTGATGGACGCTCAAATATTAGCCATATTGAAGGCTGGATCAAATTGATACAACAAGAAGGCAAACTTACACCTTGTTTTGTTATAGCCTAAGATAAGTTATCTACAAGCTCCCTTTGCTCTTTTGGTTTATGCCACTGACCGTTTTCCCATATGAAATAGAAATTGCAAACAAGTCAAAAGTGGACATGCATTACCATCTTCATCTAATTAAAAAGAAGAGTACTGAGCGGAAATTGAAGCATCCCATGCCATCTATGGAAGTAGGGTAGGATTTAGAAATAAGTAACATGTTAGCAGAACTCTTTTTTCTTTTTTACTTTACAAGTTTAAAAGGCAAAAAAAAAGAAAAGGAGTTGATTTTGGTGATGTGATACTATTTCCTATACAAACCAAGAAAGAAAGAACGTTGTGCTCAAAAGCAAAACATTTACAGTACCTTTTCACTAAATACCTGCGACTTTACAATGTAACATTATCTCTCGTTAGATATTCACTCAAATTTTGATTGAGAATCATGAATTGCGATAAAATTTGATTGATTAAAAAATATTAATGATTAAGTTTATTTAAACAATAAATTAATATACTTAATGGCTAAGAGATATTTTTTTTTAGAAATTACTATCATAATTAAGTATTATATATAATACTTATAATTGAATAATCAAACAAACAAATCAACGAATAAACCAAATCATAATTGAATAAATACAAAATAAAATTGAATCAAACTCCCATATGGTATGACTTGAACCTAAAATATTAAGATCTTAATGTTACTTCTTTCCCTCAAACCAAAGTCTCATTAGCTAAACAAAGAGTTCTTAATGAATATGAATCCTTGGTGATCACGTAATAACCTTTTTATAAATATTAAATGGGTCTTAGCCTTTATAATTATGAGAGATGTAATGAGATTTTTATAAATATGAAATGGTTCTTAGCCTCTAGAATTAGTCTTTAAAATTATGAAAGAAACGTCATATTTACGTGGATGGAATTTTATAAATATGAAATGCGTCTTAATCTTTAGATTTAGTATTTAAAATTATGAAAGAGACATCATGTTTTCTCTTGTGGATTTGTAGGGATATGAGAAAAACTTGAAGAAAACACTATGTTTAATGGTATAATGATATTCCATGAATTTAAACTCTAAAGAATATGGAAAGTTAATATGTCGAGATTCGAAATTAATTTTTTTATTAATATTTTGTATTTTTTATAATTTCTACGTTTATAATAATTTTTTTTTGTTCATAAATGTAAAGACTGTGATTAAATCATGATAAATATTGTTGCTTATTTTCATACTAATCTCGTTTTGAAATACATTTATGCTTGAAAATCTCAACATCCCTATTTTGCATTTTAATTTCTTTATTTGTCTCTACTCGAAACTATATTTGGAAACCATATTGTTGTTTACAACAGTATCTATTTTTAGTTTTTTTTTTTTTTTTTTAAGGAACAATTCCTATTTTTAAAACAATCACCTTCTTAAGACCCAAAACCTTATGTTATGTACCCAAAAGCATTAACTACCCAATAGCCCACTCTTGAGATTAGCCTTACAACAACCCTCCTAGCCAGCCATGCCCAAAATTGAGTCCAAATCAATCCTATCTACTCCTTGGATCACAAACCTAATCCAACCAACCAATCCTTTCAAACCCAAACCCCAAACCAACCCAATCAGAATCAGAAGGAACCAATACAAGTCGGCAAAAAGGTACGAAAGCATTTGGAAGTCAGCGTAATCAAAGCCATTGAACTGAACTGAGTCTGAGGAAGAAGCCGAAGCACGCGAGGCGCGAGTAGAGAAGCAAAAATGAAATTCACTGACTCACCGGTGATAGAGCTGCAAGTGCGCGATTCCCGCCTATCTATCCAACAGGACAACGGCTCCTTCCATGTAGGCACTTCCGTCTGGCCTTGTTCCTTAGTCCTCGCCAAATTCGCCGAGCGCTGGGCACCGCCTTCGCCCACCACCACCGGCAACAATAACCGTTACTCCGAACTCCTCGATTTCCACAGCCACCGTCGCCGCGCCATCGAACTAGGAACCGGCTGTGGAGCTGCCGGCATGGCCTTCCACCTGCTCGGTCTCCAAGACCTCATTCTCACCGACATATCCCCAGTGATGCCAGCGCTCAAACACAACCTCAAACGCAACAAGCCCGTTCTGGGCAAGAACCTGAAGACATCAATTCTCTACTGGAACAACAAGGATCAGATCAGGGCCGTTAATCCACCGTTCGATGTGGTAATCGCGGCTGACGTGGTTTACATCGAGGAATCTGTGGGCCATCTAGTGGGTGCCATGGAGGCGTTAGTTGCAGATGACGGGGTGGTTCTATTAGGTTACCAGTTGAGATCACCGGAAGCTGATAAGCTATTCTGGGAAATGTGTGAAAAGGTCTTCGTGATCGAGAAGGTTCCTCATCAGGATTTGCACGCTGATTACGCTTACGAGGAGACCGATGTTTATGTTTTCAGAAAGAAGAAGAATAATTAGCAGGGTAATTTTTGACATCATTTTCTTTTATAAGTTTGGCATTTGGGAATACAAAATATACCTTCTTTTCTCAGATTGTTAACGGCAAAAATTTGTGCTTTGTTTAAACTTTTAAAGTATTGGTTTTTGCCATCTTATGCCAATTTCTGCAGGAAACTATTGTTTGATTTGTGGGAAATATCGAAGAAGCCCATTCTCTAAGATTTTATACTCTCACTGTGTTAGAAGTTTGATGGATGGAACTAGGTGATCAACTGATCATGGAAATCTCTATTTATGCCCCAAAAGGACCTGATTTAACTCTTCTATATTAAATCCAATAGCATCTTTTTTAATAATTATCTTCACCGGCCTCTGGAGGAGTGATACTACTCAACCTGTCTCTGTTCTGTTCTGCCTGCTAGTATGATTCGTTTTAATTGAACTTAATGATCTAGCCCATCAGCTGATAAGCTTTAAGGCATTGAATCTTTTTGGTCTTTCCCTTTTCTAATATTCTTACCATACTGTTAACTGTCTCCGTTTTAAATGCGAGGTTATGCTTTCTGTTTGAATCTTTCTGGTTTTTGTCGTAGCTTCTAAAACTCATTTCCTGTTGTTGGCAAACGTACAGTTTTATGCTCTACGAGTTAGCCACCTTGAATTGAGAACTGTTTTTTTTCATATGGTATTTCCATGAATATTTTCCTAGCAAATAAAAATTTAACTCACCATGGCAAGACGATTATAAAATCTGAGTTAAATGAGCACAAGTTATAGGCAGAGCCCTTGTTTTTGGCCTTTCTTATGGCATCTAATTTCACATGCTTATTGATTACGGATATCAACGTTCTAACTTTTCTTTTCATCTTCTCTTGGGCCAAACACGCCAGTCTTTCCTCTTAAGCAAACCTATTTAGCATATGTGAGCTAATGACCATAGTCTTTCTTGTAGTGTGTGACTTACATATATCTACCTAATAATTGTCTAATTTTTGTTTGTAAATCTTCGATGATAGAACCAAAAAAAAGCGATTCTCTTTTTAACTCTCTCAATGTAACGGCCAAACTTAGAAGATTTGCCGAATCTTAGAAGAAAATGAAATTGAAAAAGGAAGTATTTTTCACCTATCATGTCTGGAAAAAAAAAATCCAGCCCGTCTACAATCTACAATTAAGCTGAAAAATTGTCTGCTCTTAACAAACGATGTAAAATACTCATCGAAAACAAAATCTTACTCATTGAAATCGTGTGCTTTTGTTTACCAATATCATTGAAAACAAAAATACACCAGTAAATCGCAGGCTGTAAATGTAATCAGATTTAAAAATACAAAACAAAAAAAAAAAGAAAACACGCACACACGCGCGCACACAAACAGATTTTTTGTCTGGCTGGCTCATATCGTTCTACTTCTCTCTCCATATTCGAGCACTCTCTTTAACCCCAAAGAGAGAGAGAGAGAGAGAGAGAGAGAGAGAGAGAGAACAGGACGAAATCAATCAAAAACTCAATTTTCAGAAACCAAACTCACAAGCAATGATGATCAGAACTGGGACGGAGCAGTTGAATGACATGGAAAGCCAATGCGGTTAATTTACAGGGACGACAACAGGAACTTCAAGCTGAAACCAGAAGCCGTCGATGCCCTTAGGCGTATCAAGGGACCCATTGACGTTGTCTCTGTTTGTGGCCTTGGTCGTCAAGGCAAAATCTTCATTTTGAACCAGGTAAATTATTTTAATTATTTACATTTAAACAAAAGTAAAAGCATTTGGGTCTGTTAATGTTGCCCTTTATTTTTCTCTCATTCGTTTCTTTTTTGGAATCAAATGGAAGATAGGCTTTCCGGTAAAAGCATTTCACATTCTGGTGTCTTTTATGTATTTTCTTCTAAAATCGTTTTGGCTAGATGATTATGGCTGGTGAAGCAATGGAAAAGTATCAAAACTGCTTGAAATTCACATAATATATGATAACAATTGATATGATGTTAAATCAAATAATTACACTAGTTTTCAACTACTGGTTTGACTCTACTAACAGAAAGATATTGGCTAACAAGGCTGCATCTATTTTGAATGTGTTCTAGATCCTCGGCAAGAGCAATGGATTTAAAGTTGCATCAACTCATCGGCTTTCGATTTGGCATGCCCCATTGAAGAGGACACTTGATGGAACTGAATATAGTCTTCTGCTGATCGATGCTGAAGGGATCAAGACTTATGATCAAAGAGTTAGGCCTTCTTTCTTTTTCCCTTAATGAACTTAGTTGTGTCAGAATTTGCCACTGATGACTTAGAGCTTTCTATTTTGTTCTTCTTAGACAATATCATGCTTATTTTATTGAAGAGAATGTGGCCATTTAGTGAAGATTTAAGAGTATTGAAAACTTTTTCATGCTTCAATTGCCTTGAAATATGAAAAGATTTTACCTGTATAATTTACTATGACTGGTCAATATTAGCTCAAGTGAAGATTTAATAGACTTGCAAGAGAGCTTATGATGACATGAATTCTGTTAACTTAGCCAATAGTGAAAAAGAGCCCAATGCATGCTTTTGTAGTAAATGTGCTTCTCTCTAACTAAAGCATGAGGTTCATTCTATGGACAACTATATAATAAACTAGTTAAGTTTACCCAACTGTGAATACAAGACATACCAGTTGACCTTTTTATTCATTTTTTAGTGTGCTTCACATCAATGACCTCAAATGAACTTAGTAGAGATTCAAAATGCAGGCCTGATGTTGTTATATCTCTGCTGGTAATGGTTGCAAAGGAAGAATTGTTGAGAACTTAGCAATGAAACAATTACTTGTTGCAACAAGTTTCTTTTGTATATTTTCTTCATTAACATAATTTACTCATCAAAACTTCTGTTATCTGATTTTTGTTTCAAACTTTTCCTTTCTCTATGTCTCTGCTTCCATACATTTTCAGATTTTTTTTTGTTTCTGATAGGAAACATACAGCAGGCAGATTTTCTCCTTGACATGCCTCTTGTCGAGCATGTTTATCTAAAATCATGCAAGTACAGATTATTCAGGGGCTTCATTAATTAGTTCACTCAAACCATTGCTAGCTGGGTGGATATTTTTTATATACCTAATACATGAACCACAAAGTACATAATGCCACTATGTGAAGGATTGTGTCGCAAGAGATGATGCCATACCCAGTATTGCTTTTGTAGAAGCAAGTGCCAAAGAGAGAGACAATGAGATAAAGTCACCATTGGTGCATGAGACTACCCAACAGAAGCAGCAGTAGCTCTATAAGCAAAAACAATTTCAAGAAGCATATATTAGGTCTAGTATGTGAGAGATAAATGTGTCTTCCAACTAATCTTTTGTACATCTCTTTATTTACAATAGCATCTTCATTAGCTTCTCCAGGTTTATGATTAGGATCTATAAGGGTACTTGCAGGTTTACATGCGAGCTTCCCAGTTTCCTTCAGAAGATTTATCATATATTTCTGTTGTGAGATGAAAATACCATACCGTGAGTTAGCTACTTCAATTCCTAGGAAGTACTTCAATTTTCTTAGCTCTTTTATCTTAAATTCTCTAGAACAATTGTGATCTCCTTGACTCTGTTTATATTCTATTGTTGGCACCACTTTGGCAAATCTCCCGAACCAATCCCTAGGAGATGTTTAAGGTCATATAAAGCCTTTTTCAGCTTGCATACTTTGTTTTCTTCTAGATGACTTCCAAATCCCGATGGAACCTTCATATATATTTCTTCTTCTGAATCACCACATAGAAAAGCATTTTTTACATCAAATTATTGAAGCTGTCAATTGTAATTTGTAGCCAATGATAACAAAATCATAACTGTATTCATCTTGGCAACTAGAGCAAAAGTTTTTTGATAATCCACTCCATAAGTTTGAGTATAGCCTTTAGTCACTAACCTAGCTTTATACCTTTCAATAGTACCATCTAAAATCCATTTACACCAAACTGAATTTTTGCCTTTAGGCAACTTTATCAGTTCCCATATCTTATTTTTCTCTAAAGCCTCTATTTTTATTTTCATGGCTTGCCTCCATTTCTCACTGGATAATGCCTCGGATAATGTAGTTGGAACAGAAATAGTGTTTAAGCTCATAAGAAAATTTTTGTGGGATGGTGAGAATTTTTCAAATGATACAAAATGAGAGATTAGGTATAGTGGATGCTTAATACATTCTTTGGTTCCTTTCCTAATGGCAATAGGCAGATCATATTCATTAGTTATAGTTTTAGGAGATTCATACTCATTTTGAGAAACAGAGTCAAAAACTGTAGTTACCTCATTTCCAAAGTTAGGATCAGGTTCTTGGACTTGCACTGGTTTAGGATATGAAACTTTCCTTCTTGAGTACACCTATAATTCTTTCATAGAATAAAAAACAATATTATCCTTTGTCATATCTTCTGTGTTTGGAATGAGTTTAGACTCGAATTCAGTATTTGACTTGGACTCAAAAGAAACAAGTTTCAACTTAAAGAATTAATGGGTGAAAATGTTGAAGAGGAGGACAAATCAAGCAAAAAGAAGTCTTTATCCTTATCTTCCATGAATGAAGTCTCTCTTTGAAGATAAGGTTGAGTAAAAAATGATTTACTTTTTTTTAAAAGTGATATCTGCAGACACATAAAATTTTTTGGTAGGAGGATGATAGCACTTATACCCTTTCTAAGTTGATGAATATCCCACAAAAATACACTTAATTGCTCTAGGATCCAACTTCCCCTTATTGTGACTATGAACATGAACAAATGATGTACAACCAAATATCCTAGGTGTGAAGTTGTTTGTGGTGGTATTAAAGTTGGGATAGAATTGTGAGAGTAGTTTCATAGGAGTTTTAAATCTCAAAACCCTTGAAGGTAACCTATTTATAATGTGTGGCAGTGAGAACAGCTTCTCCCAAGTAGAATTTGGGTACATTTGCTTGAAAAAGTAAAGCTCAGATTGTGACTAGTAAATGACTATTTTTTCTCTCTGCCACTTCATTCTATTATGGAGTATTAATACAAGATGACTCATGGATGATCCCTTCTTTTTGAAAATAGGTAGATAAACTTTAGTTGAAATAGTCTCTTGCATTATCAGACCTAAATCTCTTGATTTTCACTCCAAATTGATTCTAGATCATGTTTTGGAAGCTTAAAAATATACTATTGACATTTGATTTGGATTTAAGTAAAAATATCCAAGAGACCCTGATACAATCATCTATGAAAGAAATATTAAGAATTGTAAAGGGACCTTATATGTCACTATGAATCGAGTAAAAAGGAGTAGAACTTCTTTTATTGCTAACTGAAAAAAACACACGTCTATGCTTTGCAAGTTTACAAACATCACAATTAAAATTTTCAACATTTAATCCTTTGAACACAGAAAGAAACTTGTTTTTCAAAGTTCCAAAAGAAAGATGTCCAAGATGAAAATGATAAAGCTAGATTTTATCTTATTGGGAGATTTTTCAAAAAGAAATAACAAAGGTAAACTATTCTTGATATTACTTGTGTTGTTTGATGTCTCAAGATAGTATAATCGATCCTTCTCCTTAACAAGTCCAATCCTCTTCCCCGAACTCTAGTTCTGAAATTTACAATAAGAGGGATAAAAGTTCACTTTGCAGTTCATGTCTTTGGTAAGTTTTTGTATAGATATCAGATTAGTAGACAATCCAGGGACATGAAGAACAATTTTAAGACTAAACGAGGGATTAATATGAACAATTCCTAATCTTGCCATTGTAGTAAGTTAATTATTTACAACAACAATTTTCTTATTACTAGGACACAGGATATATGTACTAAACTTCTGTGAGGAATATGTCATATGGTCTATGGCTCTTAAGTCAATGACCCAAGAATTCGTAATAGGCTTAACTGAGACATTTAATCCATGAGAATCAGAAGCTTTACTTGAACTAGAGACCTTACCCAAAGAACATACCCTAGTAGGCTTTTCGAGAGTTTTCAATAGGCTGCTTAGTTTCTCAATCTCTTCTCTGTCGAACTCTCTTTGTTCTCGAGACTTCTGTAGTACTCCGATAGTTTTACTAGTTGTCACTTCCTCAAATTGGGTAGTAGTGATAGATTCTACTATCTTTGGTATGGTTATCTTTCTCAGAATTGAAACGAATCTTGATAGTAAAGGTTTAACTAGAGACGATTCTAAGTAATGAAGGCCAAAGAAGGAAAAAATAAGACTGAAAGATTTAAAAATTTTTTGCTATGAAGCCTGAAATAGAATTTAGCAATGAATGCTAAAAAAATTTTCTTCCTAATCAGAGCCTAAATCTTTGATACCATGTGAAAAAAATTAAGAAATCAAACTGTGTGAAAAGGAGAACTAGTAAGCTTTTTGAGAGTTTTCAATAGGCTGTTTAGTTTTTCAATCTCTTCTCTGTTGAACTCTCTTTGTTCTCGAGACTTCTGTGGTACTCCAATAGTTTTACTAGTTGTCACTTCCTCAAATTGGGTAGTAGTGGTAAATTCTACTATCTTTGGTATGGTTATCTTTCTCAGAATTGAAACGAGTCTTGATAGTAAAGGTTTAACTAAAGACGATTCTAAGTAATGAAGGCCAAAGAAGGAATAAATAAGACTGAAAGATTTAAAAATTTTTTGCTATGAAGGCCTGAAATAGAATTTAGCAATGAATGCTGAAAAAATTTTCTTCCCGATAAGAGCCTAAATCTCTCTGATACCATGTGAAAAAAACTAAGAAATAAAATTGTGTGAAAAGTTAAGAGTAAAACTGAATGAATATTGAAAAACTGCTTATAAAGAATTATACAAGTACCTTAGGTTTATACATAACAACTAATGAGTAAACTAAGAAACTAAATATTCCTAAAACTGATCCTATAATTGAGGGATTGTCTATCCTAATTTTTTGTCCTTAATTTTAGGGACACAAATACTTAATTCTTGAGATACAAATATAAATATATAGATTACAAGATTACAACCAATTATAAATAAGTGTTTTCCCATAGGGTCGAATAAAGAACATGTTGGCGATCATCAAGAAAAGTAGCCCTTTGATTGATAAGAATAGAACCAGAAAAGTAAGGACACTGAAAGATTTGGAGGATAGCATCCTAAATGATAGAAAAAAGTAAGAGGAGAGGCAGAAAGCAAACGAAGAAGCAAGGCAAGTCTGGGGTGAATCTAGAAGGGCCTATGCTAATGAGCTCTCTCGAATGGGGATTTTTTGAATAAATTCACAGTTACCTTGAAGGAACTCAGGACATGTGGAATATGGGTAAGCTATCGGGATTCTCAGCTAATTGCGATGATGATCTGGTAGTGGAAAGGCTAAATGAATTGGGCGTTTCAAACTAAAGGGTGTAATCGGCATTGAGGCAGTGCATTTATATGGTGCTTTTAGTTCTTCTGCATTTGACATAATGGGTGTTATAGTTGGTGATTTTGGCTTAAAAGATAGAGAGGATTCTTAGAGTGAATATTCAAGGCATTGGTACTGAAGCTAAGAGGAGGACTTTAAAGCAACTAATTCTTCACTACTGAGTGTAAATGTTGTTATTTCAGGAAACAAAGATTGAGGAAATAAAGGTTTTTCATGTTCTGAATTTGTGGGGAAGAGGTATTCTTTATTGGATTAGTGCAACTTCAATTGGCCTATCGTGTGGTTTATTACTGGTTTTGGGATAAAAACTGTTTTTAGTTGGAGCAGAGGGTAATTTCCCACAGTTTATTGGTGGCAAAAGGGAAGTTTATTCGTTGGAATCTTGACAGAGTGGTATGCAATGTATATGCTGCCTACCAAACTGAGGCCAAGTAGGTTTTATGGGATGAAATTTTGATTCTGTAAACCGGTTTCTACTTCGAGTGCTCTTTTCAAAGCTTGTTGAAAACTTGGTGGGTAGCATCTAGTGCGGCTGCCTTTTAGTCTATGTGGTTGATGAGAAATGAGATAGCTTTTGATAATGAGAAGCTGAATTTGGAAGAGTTGTTATTTCTAGTTTAATTCTTATCTTTGTTCTGGTTGAAAGCTATCAAGGAGGATATTAATGTTTCAAGTTCCTTGTGGTGGATTCATCCGATGGTATATGTTCCCTATACTGCTAAGAGGTTATACAGATCTGTGTCATGATGATCTCCGCCTGGGAATGGAGGGCAGAAATTTAATGAGATGGCTCAGCGAGAGATAAATCTGGTCCATTGAGATGAGTTTTTTTTTTTTTTTTGAGATCATATTTCAAATATATTGGCAATATTCTTTGTGTCGAGCATATGGCAGAACTTTTAGCTATTAAAGTGGCACTTGAGACTTTTATGAACTCAGAGAATGTGAGGTCAGCTTTCAGAAGAGATATTGAGAGGCAAATGGGTTGGCTGATGCTCTAGGCTCTAGCTAATGCTGGGGTGGACAGAGTTGAGAGGTTCACAATTTGGTGGTAAAGGGTTTTTTGCGCCAGTGTATCTCTGCTTTTGGATATCATTTTAGTCCTGCATTCTTTATGTTTTCTATAGTAGCAGGGGTTGAAGGGTTACGTCCTGTAGTGTATTGTTTATATTATTATTCTAGAATCTCGATTATCCTTTTGGTTGATGTTGGGTGGATTTCTTGACCGTTACTTTTAACCTGCTATTAATAAAAATTTTGCTTTGGAAAAAAAGGATGAGCTGCTAAATTTTTTTGATGGAATTCTGAGAAGCTGATGAAAGGTGGAATCTATGGGTTTTGGAGCCAAATGGATTGACTTGATTAGGGAGTGTACTTTGGCAAAGTTACTGGTTTATTACAGGATGTAGAATTTATAGTATGGTGGTATTCTGTAAGGCACTTTTGTATTGTAATGTCGTTTTAATTGAGTATGGTCATTGTAATGTGTTTGTTGCTGATATCTGGTCTCTTCTTTGGTAGTTAAGCTTTTGGTACAGTGTTATGTACTATGCTTATTAACCATTAATAAATCCATGGTTTTGAAAAAAAAAAGTAATTTTGAATGCCTAGAAAAATAGTGCTACTCTCTTTGAAGAAGTAGTAGTGAAGTTCTGTACATAAAATGCTACATCTGAGGTATGACTTGGGTATTTGGAATTATAAGATAATTTTTATAATCAAGAATTAAGTTTTAAATAATGACGAGTTTCTTGTTGCTTGGAATTTGTTTTGCCGATTGTTATTCAAGTAGTACTATTTGATTCAACTTAACAGTTTATATATGAGGTTATTAACCGATGATGTAATCACTACCGAAATTAAGTTTACTATCGACAGAACTATTTGGACAAGTAAATAGTAATCCATTGTGCAAGAAAAAGGCTTATGCAAATTATTTTGAGCTGCAATTATTGATACTAGTTTTTAAAATGCTGAAATTAACTCTTACAATCATATTAATTGAATGGCATATGTAGTTAATTAATGCCGGTCTCACCAAGCTTAAATTAACTAATAATCTCAATTAAATGAGCTAAACCCAAGCTGTTAATTTGTTCTAGATTGGATTGCAGTAACAGAAAAAGGTATCACAGTGACAACCCCTACTCTGACATTGAAATTTCAACCCTAGCAGCTTATTTAAACGTACTAATTCTAGATAAGTACCAATAAAAATGAAAGTTTAAAAAAAAAAAAGAAAGGAAAAAAACAGAACGGAACAGAACAGATTTGATGCTTAAGAACGATTAATGCTGCAGTGCACGGTTATAAGGATAATTAAGTACTCTTAATTACATTAATCTCGTGATCAAGATAACTATGTAAAAATAGATAGAGTTATAAATAAATAATTGGAATTGAAATGTTCAAAATACATTTTAAAGGGCAAAATAATATATACTCTTATTTTATTATTGTCACATTATAAAGAACAAAGGGTTGAATAAAAACCTATAAAGGGCAAATATATACTCTTAGTTTATTATTGCCACATTATAAAGAGCAAAGGGTTGAGTAGAAACCTAGCTACTAGACTGGTAGTTGTGGCAAGTATCACACCTTTGTACCGTTTCCAAAAGTTAACTTCTCCAAAGAGTAAAGTTGGATGGACCTTGCATATGACACATTTAATTACCCCTTGCTGCTTAAACTGTACAAAGCATCCATTAAAGGAGGAAGGAAAAAGAAAAAGAAAAAAAAAAGCATCCATCATCTTCATATTCTTCCATGCTGAAGAATGTTTCTTCTCCTCCTCAACAAGCTATAAAAGCTTTCCTTATTCTTCCTCACCTATTTGCTTCCCCTAAACACATAAGTATATTACTCTATATTATTTTACCAATTAATGCTTATTTGGTTTTGCCCCCACAGTCCATATATATACTAAGTAGACTATCACCTTTTTTTCCTTGCATGGATCCTTCTTTTTATTAAGGAATAAAAGACCCATCATGGACTGCAAAATGGGGAAGTAACTGACTAGGCTTGGCCCTAGTTTGGCCACCTTGATCAAAGGAAATGAAATGAGAACCTTTGTGTACACTGCAGCACCTTTGATTTTGAGGGCAAGGAGTGCTTTACTGAACCACAGTGTCTAGGCTGTGTTTGGTAGAAAACTTTTGAGACAACTAGCTCACCATCTTTTTCTTCTTCATTGTTGCCAAAGTGGTACTGGTGCATCACCCAATTAGTTTTCTCGGGTTTCCTTTGCTTCCCATAGTTGGTGTAAAGCACCAGTATCTTTTTGTACCCCTTAACTTTTCCACTGATAAAAACTGGCCTGGTCTTGCCTGTTTTGTGCCACCTGGTCTCGCCGCTTTCCGTGTCAGTGTGAACCTTTCTTCTTTTTCTAGTCCCGGTAGTGTATGCCTTGGACGGTCGGTGAAAGAAGTAGCGAACTAGGCCATCTTTGCTAGCTCCTATACACAATGAAGATACATTATTAAATGGCAGATCATTTATTTCTCAATTATCAGAAAGAGTTTATTAACTCAATTGATTCATGTAGTTTCTTAAGAAATTTGGATTTGAATCTTAATACCTATAACTTCTTCACTTCGCATGTTGCAACCCTTTTTATAAAAAAAAAAGAGGGTTTATTAATTAAGGAGAAGGAACCATGTTACCATCATTGACAACTATTGCAACTAAGATTTGGCTTGAGTAATTGTTATGGTTAGTTGGAATATTTGTTAATTGCTAATGGGAAAGGCTACTAGGGTTAGTTGGAAGGTTTCTTCATTTCTATTTTACGGAAAATGGTATGCAAAAAGGTTAGTTGGCAGGTTTCTTCGAACAAGGAGAATGGTAAACCATTCCTTCAAATGAATTTGCCAATGTTTTTCCGAGCCTTTCTTGTTAATAAAAGACAGGAACACTGTTCTAAGAAAAATTGCGTATCCTTTCCATCTTTCTATTTTGCTTGATGAAAACACCAGATTTTGATGGTTTAGTTACTTTAGGGACTTCATTTACTTCCCAAGTTCCAAAAAGAAAATAGCTGAACCAAAATTAACTTTAAATATGAAGCATATTGAAGTTCAAAATGATGAGAGACTCGTAATATTGATAACTCTCTGAAACTAAGAGCCTAAAGACTTCTGTATTTCTCTCTTTCTTCAAAATTTCTGATTGCTAACCTCACCAAAGCATATTTCCAAGACTGCAAAATATAATGACGTCAACCTTGCTTTTTTTTTTTTTTCTTTGTTCATGTTTTATTCAGAAGTATATAGATGTTGGAGTAGAAATATATAATCTTTTTTATTTGAAAATTGAGTAGAAATATATAATTGAATCCTCAAACAAAATTATTACCTGGCAACTTCTCTGGATGAGTATAGCAAATTCCATTCTCTCTTTCAATCGTTGGGATAAATTCATCCATACAAGGATGAAGCTTACGAGCATCAGACCGTACCATCCCCTCCAAATGTTCAAGAAGCTCTTGATCTGTTGGATCAAACTTCACTCCAGCAGGTAATCCAGGCAAATCATGAATTCCCGCCTTAAAATAACAATTTTTTATAGGTGTGCAAGTGCAACAAATAAAAGTGAACCGCATTTAAAAATCATGATCAAAATCAATGCAATTAGAAAATATTCATAATACAATTAATTAATAATATCAAAGAACGAAATTTAAGTTTATATATATTTAAATCTAAATTTAATGACCTGATCACGGCCTTTGATCTGATGACCGCATGAAGGACAAGTTGCAACTAGGTAATCTTTGTGCCTTTGATGAGTAACAGTTTTTTGAGAAGATGAAGAAGAGCTTCTCTCAATAGTTTGCACGTCGCTGGAGTCATTGCACCAAGTCATTTCCTTTGGCTTCCTCTTATTCCCATCCCACGCTAGCCTCTCCAAAATAAATAATACCGTGAGGAAAGACAAAAAGAGAAATAGAGAGTATAAAAGAAAAAAAAAATGAAAAGTTAGCTTGTCTCCTCTAAAGCTTTGGTGCTTGGAAGCCTGTTTATCTTGAGGGTTGGGAAGGGAATGAAATTCTCTTTTCAGTTTTTAGATAATTCTTTATATATATATAAGAGAAATCATAATTTTTTTTAAAGAAAGAATTACGTATACTAAAATTTAAATTTAAATCTACTAAGATAAAAGTAACTAAACTCTTGATTATATATAATTTTTAGTTAATTCTTTGCATTCTACATTTGAACTCTTGTCCTCAATTAAGGCAAAGAGAGAGAGCTTCAGCTACCTTAAAAAATCTTAAGAGACAAAGAATTTCCTTTAGGAAGTTCTATTAAAAGAAAAAAAAAATAAAAAAGCGTTGCTTGGAACTTAAGTTTGGTTTTTGCTTATCTATCTGCTGCATGGAAACTTGTCGGACAATAACTGTAAGTTTTTATGTTCTTTTGTTTTTTTAAACCTGTGTCTAAAGGCAGCATTGATTTGTAAAAATAGCTAGTTAATGTAGAGAAGGCTAAAATTTAAAAGAATGAATAATACTCAAAGGTTAAACAAGGATGGAACAATGGAGATGGGGCAATATGATTTATTGGGAGACCGATTGATCAACACCAGAGAGAGAAAGATAAACACTTAAGGTCCAATGACACCCTGTAGAATTCATAAAGCTAAAAATTGTACACTAATATATACTAATATAATATAAATATGAAAATATATTTAAAAAAAAAAAAGAAAAAACGACTAATTAACATATGTGGCCACCCATAATTCTATTTCTTCAAGCAGACGTCTCATGTAAAGCAAAAAAAACCTCCCCCTTCTCTCTCTCTATCTGCCCCTAATATCCACGTGACAAAATCAGCGTGTGCCATTTTTGACCCCAAAAGAGAAGCAGCAGGTTTAAAACCGATTCCATGTTGCCTTATTTCTTTCTATGGGATATCTTTTCTTTTCAATTTGGTAATGAAAATATAACTAAATGTCATGACTCTTAATTTATCTTCTTATTTTATTAAGAAAATTGCAGCCAACCTCTCTCAACACCTCTCTCAAGGTTTGCTTCCTCTAAAGTTCAAATTTGAAACCCGTTTTCACCTTAAAAATGAATTATTATCCCCTCTTCATCACCATAATTAGAAAATGGGCAGAGAAAAAAAACTTAATTACGTGAAATATGAAGCAAGTGATGATTAGAAATTAAAGCAAGAATATTGGATTCAAAATTCATGTACGCTCTATAAGTATTATCTTAAATCTTAAATCTTAAAAATCATATGTGAATATTAAAACATCAATCAATCATATTACATATTTGTTTGGGCAAACATAGTTTACGGTCGAAGTAACCTTAATTCTTGAAGAAACTAAGCCTTCTTCTTCGCTCTTCTCTCACTGGTGGTTCTTAATGGATAGATACAATTAATTAAAAGTAAAAAAGGGACATTACCTAAATATTATTAAAATTCTAGAAACCTTATCATCAAAAGTTTACTGAGTCAAAGATGTATACAACCACCAAATCATATTGACCTAGTAAGATGTGCAAAGCTTACACATAAGTGATCACAATTAATTATTTGGCTTCTTATACTTGTCTTGTATTAAGACTAAATTTATCAATCTATTTTATTAAATTATAAAATCAACAATTAATAGTAGCCCACTTATTGAAAAATCTAACATTCTTTCACTTAGACAATATTTAATTAGGTTGTTTGGTTTTAAGAAAACACAATTTAGAAAACAAGACTCTATGCTGATCAACTTTATTTTGATGTAACTATAGTTTTAAAACAGTTTAACCCTTGAGACAATATCTTAATGATCCTATCCAATAAAACCATCTAATATTGAATCATGACAGCCATTATACCCTTTAGGGACATAAGACCATTCCATGGTTACAAGTACTAAAGACTCCATCGACAATTGATCGTGGTGTGACTATGTAGCAAGAAAAAAACACCTAAATATAATCTCAATATGTTATTTTCATTACTAGTCCTTTTGTCTTGTTGAAAAATCTCTATGGTATCCAGATGTGCCAGTATGTTTCCTTTTTATCCTTGAGATTACTTGCTGGTATCATTTATGAGACATATCCAAATAACATTAAAATCATGCTTAAGACAAATGCCAAGTTTTAAGATTTTATAATATGACATGTTAATATAAGATGTGCACATGTAATAATAAACATATATACAAATAACAACTATGATGTATTTATAAAAAAATAGTGTCTACTTAACTTGATGGTATTTCATGGATTTATTCATATCAAACTATATCTTATAGGTAATTAATAATTACATCTGATACATTTAACAAAATAAAGAAACCTAAAACAATAATGGTCTCAAAAGCAAAATTTACAATACATCATTGCCATAATCAACCCAATACCTTAACATGCTATATTTTTTATACCTATAGATATCTATATTATAAGCTTTGTAATACCATAATCATCACAATAGAAAATATGTCATCATGTAATCAAATTACAATGAGTCCCACTAATCCAATGAATCACAAACATGCTCAATCAAACTTTGAATAATAAATAAGAAACACTTCAATAAATGAAGTCATAACAAAATTATGTACTATCTACCGTTATGCCAAATGTGATAATCACTATTGTTCTCAAACTTCCATGATGCCACTTTAATAAATCACTTATGAATTACTAATATATTATGAATAAATTTCACATTCATATGTTCACAAAATTCTTAATGTTTTAACATGAGATCATTTCATTAAATTAGGAATTAATTGAATTACCAATCTTTTATATCTAAAACATGTATAGACCAATAGCCTATTAACTCCCACTAACCTTAACATATATAATATCTTCAAAACAATAATTTTAGGACATTTGTGAGTTCTTACTACTTTAAAACATATGCAAAAGAACTTTCTCTAATTTTCACTTCCCTTAAAACAATAGTTTTGGCATTAATAAAATAATAATGATAATAATAAAAATAAAACTTTTATATTATCATTATTTGAAATAACTATCAAAATTAATTCACATATAGTTCAAAACAAGGGAAGTGAAATGAGAGAAAATGATAAAATTCTTGTTCTTTCTCAAAACTAAACTGACAAATGGTGAGGAAAACTATCAAGGAAGAAATTGAACCAATAAAAACAAAACAAATAGTTTACTTATTTGCACAAAACTTCATTTTTCAAAACTCTCATATGTATGATAAGTGCAAAATAATTTTCTCTCCCTTGCATGTGAGTTTCTCAAAAGAAAATATTAAATTTTTTTTTTTAAAAAAAAAAACACATTGTCAACAAATGACCACAAATATACCCTTAAAAAATGATAACTACTAGGTTTGATAGTATTAACAAAGATTATCAAACCAATAATTTAATTGAAAGTTAAACAACCAAAATAAATATTTATTAAATGAATTATTTTTCAACAACTCTCAACTTTACTTAAGACAAATTGAGATATCATAATAAGTCTAAAACTTTCTTGTGTAAAAGCTAACTCACTTGGTTATCATAAGACACTATACACCTTTTAACTTTACTTAAGACAAATTGAGATATCATAATAAGTCTAAAACTTTCTTGTGTGGAAGCTAACCCTTTTGGCTATTATAAGACACTATACAATAAATATGTATCCTCAAATGTAATAAATTAAAGTGACTAAAATTTATACATTTACTATATTGTATAATACATCCAAGAACTTATCATTAATGGTAGACATTAACCTATGATGACAAGAATCGAAGCATACTAACTTGAGTACGAAGGCCAATCAAATAAGACTTTAATCAATTCAGTATCTTTATTAGTTTTATCAAAACAATTAAGGTGCTACATCATAAGTTTAACTTTGGACTTTCTTTCAAGGAAAACATTATCCCTTTGTGTAATCACACTTTTAAAACAAGAAAAATACAAAAATTTTCAAAAAATACCCTTTTTGGGTAGATAAATTCCTTAGGTCTATGTATATTTTCACTTCATAAAAAAATGTTTCACAATTATCTCTAAATTAAAATCTTATAATCACCTCATTTGAGCAAGTAATCGCATTTTGTAATTTAGAGCAATTCCTTAACACCATAAGAAATTTTATAATCATTATAGTTCTACTAATTTTCTTATGTCTATTTATACATGTTATCGTTCTAAGCGAGATACTAATTTGAATATACCTCTATGGATCACTAAGGGTTAAAACTTAGAATACTCATTATCATTTTATGCATCTTAAAAGTTTTCAAATCAAGCTTCATGAATCATGCTTTCAATCAATATAAATACTTAGCATACTACACTACCAATAAATTATCTTAACAATTAGTAATATTTTATTATGGCATTTTAATCTTAACAAACTTACTGATTATGCATGTGACAATTATTTTCATGGATTCATATTACTAAGACAATATTTTATAATTACAAAATGCAATATTTTAACAATCAGACAATAATCAATAAAATTGTTCAAAACTTAATAATTATGTGTAAGAAAACACTCATGACTTAATTAAGCTTTAAATCACCTTTTATTGTTTCTAATTAGATTTACTTAATCTTTATCACCAAAATCAACTATAATATTCAAAACAAAAGAATGCAAATTTTCACATATAAGCAACAATATGTACAACTAGCACTAGTTCATGATGCATTATTTATAATTAAACTAAAAAGTCCAAATGCATCATCATAAACTCCTTTTTGGGCAGAGAATATGATATGCTATTAGCCACCTTTCACATGAAATGAATATAAAAATATCCTAGTTTTCAAAAAGTTTATCCCCTTTAAGCAGACAGACTTTCTAGACTAGTATACTCTCAACCATGATACTTCATGTCTATTCCAAACTACTTAACATAATAACCTACTTTGGGTAGGCAATTTTATAAGGT